GATCCCAGTACACCTTAATTCAGGAATATACCTTAAATCATAATATTAATATACCTTAAATCATAATATTAATATACCTTAAATCATAATATTAATATACCTTAGATCATAGTATTAATATACCTTAGATCATAGTATTAATATACCTTAGATCATAGTATTAAGGGCTCTATCATTTAAGGTATATTCCTCAACTAAGGGGTATTGGGATCTCTGGGTAATCGTTTGAGGGTCCAGCACGCAGGGCTCAGGATTCATAGGATGATGGTTTAGGGCTGAGAATTCTTGGAGGGTCGGGGGACTTAGTGACTCTAAGGGGTTCCTTAAGGGCCCCTTTAAAGGGATCTATAGAATCTATAGGGATTCTGTAAGGGTTTAGGGTTTAGGGGACTTAGTAACTGGCTATTTTAGGGACTTATAATTACCCTCACCCCAATTAGGGTCCCTTTTAGGGTACTTATAAGTCTACTTACTAGCTACTTACTAAGTCCCCCGACCCCCCAGGTTTAAACCCCATGCCATCCTGAACTCTTGTACCAGCAGTTGAAGCTTTTCCTCCCGTCATCTAACCCGGTACAACCAATCCCTTAACCAAAGGGGTCCAGTCCAATGTACCTATATAGCAGAATCTAGGTTTTTAGATGAGGAGCTTCTCTTATCTCTTATGGTTTGGGGAAGTATCCCCCAGAACTTTGGGTTTGCAGTAAAAGCCCAGAAGTTGGAAACCCAATAGCCTCAATCATTAACAGTAATGTATAGGACATCCCAGCACTGTTTGGCCTTAACAAGGATTCCAACTTCATGGGGTTTACTATACCACAACCCCTTTTCGGCCTTCAATTTTTTTTCCCAACGGCCTTCTTGATGGCTCCCAGAGCTTCACCACCCTAAACCCTGATATAATATAGGGGCCTAAATGTTCACCAATATTATTCCTAGGGTTCCTTACTATAAGTATAGTATAATGGACCCCAAAACCCTATTGTAATTATTCAGGCCCCTAAAGTAGGTGCCTAAATAATTGCCAATGCCATTCTGGGGGCTCCTTCTTGTACTCGCAGTAAAACATACCCCAAAGCCTTGTTCTAAGTATTCAGGCCCCTAAACCCTAAACCCTAAACCCTAAACCATATCATTCCCTAAACCTTGAAGCCCGATATCGTGAATCCTCGGAAAGTTGCTCCAAAGCCCAAAACCCCCAAACCCTAAACCCTAAACCCCTGAACCCTAAACCCTAAACCCCTAAACCCCTAAACCCTAAACCCTTGGGGTTTAGGGCTTATGGTCTTGGCTTTAGGGACTCAGACATGTGCAGGATTTTGCAGTTCTGTTTTAGGAGTTGGTTTAGGGTTTAGGGCTTAGGGCTTAGGGTTTAGGGTTTAGGATTTAGGGTTTAGGGTTTAGGGTTTAGGGTTTAGGATTTAGGGTTTAGGGTTTAGGGTTCAGGGCTGCTCCTTTTATCATGACGGGCTGTTGAACAATTTGTTTTGTGAAATGTTTTGCACCTTTGATAGTTCTAGCTAGGCTCGGGGTTGCACTTCGAAAACGTTGAGAATTGGGTCTCTTTGTAAAACGTAGAGAATTGAGGCTCCCCTTAAACAACTTGTTCAGACGTTCGCTTATTTGCCACTGATTGAAATCAGTGCTCTTCAGGTGTAGGATCTACGGCTTTAGGGCTTTAGGGTGTCGGACGCACTGGCGTTACGCTTTGGTCTTTCAGGACTACGTAAGTAATAGGGCTTCGGGCCTTCGCGACTCGACAGCAAGTTGCAAGACTCTGTCTGCGCAGTTGAGTTTCGAGTTGCATTGTACAGAAGCCCATAGTTTCAATCCAGGGTCCTCGGCACTGCAACTCGATCTGGGGGTTTAGGTCGCTTAATTAGGATTAGGGTGAAGGTTGCTGGGTTTTGGGCTTACATTAGGGTTTTGGGCCCAGGAGCTGAATTGTCGCAGTCTGCATGACAAAGCAAGAGCAACTCCGTGAACTCCAGTAATCTAGTACGGCCTGCCACCTCGCCCAAAAACAGCAGCAGCATCAACAGTTGGAATGGGTGCCTAGCACCTACATCCAAAGAACCTAAACCCGTACCACTACTCTAAGCCATAACCCCGATACAAAACCCACAAAAGCCGCTAAACTCTTCTGTAGAGCCGGTATGCCAAGCTCAGAAACCCTAAGCTCACAATCCTAGCGGTCGGGTTGTTCTCTGATGCTTGAGGGAGCCCTGGACAGCCGCATAGATTCGGAAGACGCTTCCGAATTTCGTGTAAGGTTCGATAGTTGTTGCTGGGTTCGAGTTTCCGCGCGTGCAGATTCTTCTGTGCTCTTGTTCCGTACGGTCTTGTCCGTGCTGTGACATCCGCACTTAAGAAGTCTTCTCGGCAGAAGAACGAAAAAGATACTATATTGGGGTTCCGCATTATAGCTACAGCTATAGTATAATGAGCCCCAAAACCCTTGCTACTTATTGAGGCCCCCATATCCCTAAATCGCAATCGCTCGTAGAACCCTTATAGTATCCCTTAAAGGATCCCTTTAAAGGAACCGAATTCCAATTATTAAGGCCCCTACATTTAGTGTCCCTGGAGCCGAAGAAGAGCCTCTCATCTCCCACCAAACCGGGAACCCCCCCCAAGTCCGCAAGAATCCTAAATCAGTGTACCATCTTTCTAAGGTTCACGGTAGGTAGACCTCCCCCGAAAGCACTGCACCCTTACTTATTCTATGAGTTTTTCAATGAGTTTTCCAATCTTGTGATGGTTGAAGAAATGCTTCTGAATTGCAGGACACCCCCTAAACCCTAAACCCTAAACCCTAAACCCCCAAGCCCCTAACCCCTGGAACCATCAGCAGTCAGATCCTGAACCCTGATTCAGCCCTTCTTCGAGCCGTGTTGGAGCCGATTTTGGAAATCTTAAACTACTGCGGAACCCCCATGTATGGTTCGGGACCACAGGGTGACTTGGGTTTCGTGGGTTTTAGGGTGTTAGGGTTCAGGGTTTGAGGTTTAGAGTTTAGGATGACGGCTTAGGGTTTAGAGATCAGGATTTAGGGAGTTGCGTTTAAAGGATTCATGCAGATTCCCTTTTTGGCTGGGTGTCATCTCGCCAGAAGCCCTGAGCCGTAGGCTTCCGCGTATAGGTTTCAGGGTTTATCGATAAAAAGAATAGAGTTTAGGGGCCCAGGATACTTGAATTATAACAAGGAGCCCCCAACATAGTATAGTAATTTTAAAGGCCTATGTTACCCTGAACTCACAAACTCCGAGCTGTCACGTGGAGGCTTCCGGAATCTGCACGGGCGGTTGGATCATCGAGCTCCTTGGCGACGATTCTCAGGAGTCTCTCAAAGGCGAAAAGGAGGGACGACCCTTAATGGGGAACCCTACCCTATAATGGGCTATATAATGGGTATATAAAAGCTATATTAAGGGTATATACCTATGGGTCCTAAACCCTAAACCTTAAACCCTAAACCCTAAACCTTAAACCCTAAACCCTAAACCTTAAACCCTAAACCCTAAACCCTGAGGGTCCGTCCTTTGACCCTTGGAGTCTCGTAGTTTCCAAGCATTGAAATCAGGTTTCATCGGCGGTTAAGGGGTCTTTTGAGGGGCCATGAGGTGCTTTACATAGGGTTCGTTTCTGGGTAGGCCTTTGGTGGATGATTTAAATATTCTCCTTATTGGGTTTATAAGGACCCTCTCTCTCTCTATATATATATGTATATGTACTCATACTTTTCAAAGGGCTCTAGAGGCCAGCCCAGTTTTTTTTTTGGGCTGTATGGGGCTGGAAATATCCAAGGAGTGTCTCGAACGAAGAAGCTGACACTACGGTTGATGATATAAATCCTGCATTGCCTTAAGGACCCTAAACTATGGGAATTATAGTATATTCCTTATTATGGGTCATGCAGGATTTATATCATCAACCGTATGACCGTAATCGTGAATCCCAAACCCGAAGCTTCACGACCCTATAGTAGAAGCCCAAAAGTTGGAAAACCCAGTAGCCTCAATCCGTAAGGGTAATGTATAAGGAGTTCCAGCACTAATCGTCCTTAGTCCGGTTTCCAACTTTTTGGCGCTTTCTGTAAACCCTAAACCCTATCAAGCCACGGTCCTATTGATGATGGACAAACCTCCTGGATTGCCTGTGGTGCAAGATCCTGACCTCCAAAACTAAGTCTCAATTATCTTCTCTTCACGATCCTATGTCAAAGAGCGTGGTGCATACTGTGGGCTTCAAACTTCAAATTCAGAGTGAAGAGAAGGCCAACTACCACTGCGGTGAAGTGTTAGTTGAGAAGGATCCGTTTTAAAGGGTCTCCCTGACACTACCTAGGAATTATTGTAATCGATATAATCGTGTAACTACAACAAGGGACGCGAAGGAATAATGTGACTGTCTGCTGGGGTCCTCTCGGCGGCCTCCGGGTGAGATCTCCTGTCAGTGAGTCAAGTCTCCGGGTGGTCTCGGGGGCATACGGGCCTTAATAGTTACCTATACCATCAAAAAACACTATCATATTTGTAGTATAAGAGAGCCCAAAACCCTATTCCAGTTTTTTAAGGCCCCTGTAATACTTGTGTTCTGAGATCTGTAGCGGCCGCCGGTCCCCTTGTCCCCAGGACGACCAGTTGTGTGGTTGCGGGTGCAGGGGGCGTTAATCCCAACACCAAAGCCCCAAACCCAAGCATATATCCATACAAAGCAGCAAACCCAACATACCATCAACTCTGAACCTCAAACCCTGAACCCTAAACCCCTAAACCCCTGAACCCCTAAACCCCTAAACCGCCTAAGCCCCTAAACCCCTAAACCCCTAAACCCCTAAACCACTAAACCCCTAAACTCCCAAACCCAAGCACCCATAATCCAACCCTAAACCCTAAACCCTTAAAACCTAAACCTAAACCCTAAGCCCTTAAAACCTAAACCCTAAAAACCGAAACCCTGAACCCTGAGCCCGAAGCCCTCAGCCCCCGGCAGCTAAGGCCTGAGGCCCAGATCGACCTGGTGCCAGCCTCGGGAGAAGCCTTCAGGGGTTCTCTTAGGGGTACTTAGAAATATTTTTTTAATTTTTGGTTATTCTAATCCCTAAGAAACAGCTTAAAATTTTAATTTTGGCTAGGGTTCTAATTTCAGTATAGTTCTGGGTTTAGGTCTTTTTAGGGTGTTTAGGGTTCAGGGCTTTAGGGTTTAGGGTTTTTAAGGTTTTAGGGTTTTGGTGCTTTTCAGGGTTCTAGGGTTTAGGTTTCTAGGTTTTCAGGGGTTTAGGGTTCGGGGTTTAGGTTTTAAGGTTTAGGTTTTTAGGGTTCTGGGTTTAGGGGCTTTGAGGGTTTTAGGGTTTAGGGTTCAGGGTTTAGGTTTCTGGGTTTTCAGGGGTTTAGGGTTCTGGGGTTTCAGGTTTTAAGGTTTAGGTTTTTAGGGTTCTGGGTTTAGGGGCTTTTAGGGTTTTAGGGTTTAGGGTTCAGGGTTCTGGGTTTAGGTTTCTGGTTGTTTTTTTTTTCAGTTTGGGCAGGTTTTGGATTTTTCTTTCGTTGTTTCGGGGTTCTGTAGGGTTTAGGGGTTCAGGGTTCCATGAGATCGAGATTGTCGAGGCGTACGGCTTGGGGTTCAGGGGCGCGCGCGCGTCGGTCGCGGCGTTCGCTGCGTCACGTGGCATATGTGACGAATCTTTGGGCCTACGAAATGCATACTTCGAGACATGGTGTGCTGTTCGTCGAAGAGGCAGAGTCTAGGAAGTGCTTACGAGATTAGGCAGGGGGCTTTGGGTACTACGGGCTCAGGAATCACGGACTTGGGAATTAGATTTTGGGAGATCAGGGGTTAGGAACGACGGTTTAGGCACATGACGGGTTGTTAGGACATGTACGTGTTGGTGCTTAGAGGGTTTGTGCTCCCTACGTAAACCCTAAACCCTAAGCCTGTAATCATGACGATGTCGAGGGGGATATCTCGTTAATTGATGACTTCCATGTACAGTTTCTTCATAATCCCGTTTGTTCAGAGGCTCCGCAACCGTAACAGGTTGACAGTGACTTCATGTTTTTAGCTCCAGTTGCACAGAGATGTTGCGCGTTTCTTGTTTCAGGCTGATTTCCGGTCTTCTCCGTGATTATCAGAGCTTGCGAGAATTCAACAGTCGAGCGTCTTTCCGGTTACACATGTTGAGTTGCTTGCCGTGAGTTCTTGATTCTTCTGGTTTTGCTCGAACCTTTTGGTTCAGAGTTCCTTCCTAGGGCAACAACGGTTGTAGTCTTTTGCTGAGCATGGTACCTCATGGAGTCAGTGTCTGTGGAGCATCGCCACCTGATTGCCTCGTTCTTGGTCACGGCGGAGGCAACGGTCACCCGGCAGGAAGAGCGGAAGATGAAGAGGAGGCCGAAGCTCAAAGGCTGCTGAGAAGACCTTGGCACGCAAGTCTCGAAGCACTGGAGGTCTCGCCACGCCATACGCGGATCCGCGAGGTGCCGCCAGATAGGTTATAGGGTTTAGGGTGTACATGCCATTTGAGGGTTAGGATTACCTTATTGGCTTGAGAGAGGAACCCAAAAGACCATGTACACATAAGGAAATCAATATTCAGGCTTGCGAACTTGAATGTCCAGGAAGATTAGGAAGAGATGGTAAGCTTTACAACAGCATGGCGACGCACTCAGTCGTGACTTCTGGAGGGGTAGGAAGGTTGATCGTGCGATGACCACCCCGCGGAGCATGCACTCGAAGAAGCCTGTGGCATCCTGCGGCAAGGCCACGTTGCTTCGTCGATCGTCAAACAGCCTCGGCTCCGGCAGGAATTTCCGAAGAGATACCCAAACTGTAAGGAGCGAGCTACCCCCATTCTTAAGCTTGACAATCAGCCGCTCCTTCACTAAAGATCAAACCAGGACTGCCGCGCCGTGGGTAGGGGATCGGGCACCAAGCGTCCAGGCCCTGCAGTTTGAGACATAGATGAGTAAGTCCTTAAACTCTACGCCTAAAGCCATAAACCCCTAAAGCTCTAAACCCTAAACCCAAAAACCCTAAAACCCTAAACCACCCTATAAATCTTAAAGCCCTCGATAACCCTCGGCCCCAGAGACCCCTAATCCTAAGCCTTCAACCCTAAACAGCAGATGGCTGAATCGCAAGCCTCAGGCCTTTACTTAACCCTAAACATCCCTAACCGCTAAACCCTTAAAACCAAAACCCTAATCCCTAAACCCGTAAAACCTAAACCCTTAAACCCTAAACCTAAACGTCCCCGCAGCCGGCCCTGGTTGTCTCCAGCTCTTGAGGCCAAGAGCCCCTCGAGCTTCGGACGCGCCCGGAGCGCTGAGGCGAGAACGGTTCTTTGCTTCCGCAAACCCATGGACTCCAATATCTCTCAACTAAGGAATATACCTGAGGCGTAAGGATTCCTGAAAGGGTTCTTCAAAGGGATCTATAAGGAGTATAATTATACCTCAAATGATAGTAGGGGTCCCTTATATGATTTAGATAATTACGGGATACTGGAATCTCTGGGAACCCTGAATCCCTACTCGAAACACCCTAGGCCCTAAACCTGAACGCGGTAAACCTAAACCTTGTATATGCTTCCCAAACCCGTACCCCGTAAAGAAACCCCCAAACCCAGAACTCCTGAACTACACTCCGACTCCGTTGTGGAACCCACGTGCTCCCGACCAGTGCATCTGGTTTTGGGTTTAGGGTTGGGTCTACGATTATTGCAGAGATTGAAGCTTACAGGTTCAAAGAGCTTCCCAAGAAGGGTTTGGTGGCCAGGGGAGGTTCTAAGTGGTAAGTAATGAATTAATGAATGGTGTAGCTGGTCGGGTTCCTTGGACCGGAAACCCCAAGCCCTACACCCCGCACCCTACCCCGCAAAACCCAAGGCCTTTACAACGCCCTTGCCAACCACAAACCCCCTAAAGCCTACACCCTAAACCCAAACCCTTGCCCTAAATCAACCAACGAGCGCCTTGGCCAGGCTCAGCAGAGAGTCTGGCGACGCTGGGAGGTCGCTTCCATGGGGGACACCCAGAGACTCCAATATCCTTTAATTAAGGAATATACCCTAAATTATAGCAGGGTCCCTAATATATATATATATATATATATATATATATATATATTTAATGTATATTCCTCAATTAAGGAATATTGGAGTCTCTGGGATGAGTGCACACAAGGTTCAGGATTTAAGAGCTTAGGGCCAGGGTTTGAGGGTTTAGGATTTAGGTATACGTATAACAATGATGAGCACAGGTGCAGAGTAGAAATATGCGTGTGCGGCAGATAGCTAATAATTTTGTGATTACACAGATGTGTATCCTGTGTATAAAAGTAAAGTATATACACATACATACATACACAGACATTGTTGTTTGTGTTTGTTTGTGTTTTCATTGTTGTGTCTGGAATGGGTGTCTGTGTGCATGTCTGTCTGTCCGTCCGTCTGTCTGTCTGCAGTATATATGCATGCATGCATGCATGCATGCATGCATTCATACATGTCTCTGCAAGCATGCACGTGCGTGCGTCACGAGATGTCGGTATACGTTGAACTTATAAACAAGCACCAGGGCGCTTTGGGGCCTCTGCGCAGGGTCGTCAGCTTACACGGTCATCCAAGGCGTTATAGGACGTTGTCGGGTCTTTACCGGGTTGAAGAGGGCGTCTATGGATTCTCAAAGCAATGGGTATTTACTTCATGACAGCGCTCTGCGTCCCTGAGGCTGAACCTGAAGAGAGATGAAATAGCTGGAACGCTGTTTGGGGATAGGTGTTTTGGATCAGGCTGTTTCGCGGTTTTACGTGCATGTTTGACATTAGGGTCGAAACCACAACATTCAACCCTAAACCCTAAACCCTAAACCCTAAACCCTAAACCCTAAACCCTAAACCCTAAACCCTAAACCCTAACATCTTAGACCCGAAACTCTGAGCTTAGAGTGCCTGCGACAACGCCCAAGCAGCCTTCGCCGTGCAGGACAGTGATCTCCGGATTCATCAAGAAAAGGCTGGTGCAGGGTTTAGTGTCTTTTTGGTATTAGGGTTTAGGGTCTTTTTGGTATTAGGGTTTAGGGTCTTTTTGGTATTAGGGTTTAGGGTCTTTTTGGTATTAGGGTTTAGGGTCAAGAGTTTCGGGTTTAAGTAGGGTTAACCCCAGAGAACCTACCCCTTCAGGGTTCCTTCCTATGTCTTCCTTTTATTATCGGTCCTTAATAAGGCAGGGTTTAAGTCTACGGTTCAGCAGAATCTCAAGATGTAGGGTTTCTAACGTTAGGGCTTCAGGTTTAGTTCAGAGTTAAGGTTTCAGGCCTTCGTGAACATACCACTTGGGGACCAGGGTTTTAAGATTTGCGAACATGTGCATAACTGTCTAGCGCTTCCACGGCCATCACCCACACTCATATCCTAACCCTCAAACCCTGAACTTGCTCATGTTTACCGTTGAAAGTCCGCACACAGATGCAAGGAGAGTAATGTAGGGGCCTGAATAACTACCAATACTAGTTCGAGCGACGTCTTATTGTAAGTATAGTAGCCCCCAAACCCCCCTAAACCCTAAACCCTGACCATTGACCGTGAGAAGAATTCGGTACGGTTTGAGCCCCAACATTGTGGCAAAGCCACACCTGGAATCCTTAACCCCGCCACCCCCCCAAACCACGAATCTTCAGGGTTGAGGGTTTAGGGTCCGCAGCCCTACCTCGAGCTTTAAACTCTACAGACTATGACTAGTAGGTTACGACGAGTACGACTGTATAAGCCTGCAAGATCCTACGTCGCGGGATCTACAGGTATACCCGAAACGTCAACCCCAACCCCTATACTCACGATTAGAACCTTGATGGAAACCTTAACCTCTGAACCCTAAACCCAAAACCCCCAAAACCCTAAACCTAAACCCCTAAACCTAAACCCCTAAACCCTAAACCCTAAACCCTAAACCTAAACCTTAAACCCTAATTCGTAGTTTGCTGCAACAGTCCGATGAGCGGGTTGCCCGGAAGCCGTTGTCCCAGTTTCGGTGAAGGCAGAGCTCGGAACCCCAAAGCTCTAAGGGCCATAGGAGGCCGCCTATGGGGGTTTAGTAGGGATCAGGGTTCCCATAATGGGGTTCATAGTAAGGAATCCCTACCCCAAGAATCTTAACCCCCCCTTTTTTGGCCTCCCATCACCAAAGCTTTGGGGGTTTAGGGTTTGGGGCCTTTTTTACGCAGTCAGTTAGGTTGCGATATGGGTGTTACAAATGTTTCACAAGAAGGGTTTAGGGTTTAGGGCCTGTGTGCATGCAGTCACAGCGGGTTTAGGGCCTTTAGGGGCTAAAAGCATTGGGTTTTGGGTGTTTCGCCCATCCTAAACGATCAATCTAAAGCCAGCAAAATGCACATACTCTTGGGGCCGGTACACATCCCTAAACCCTAAACCCTAAACCCTAAAACCCTAAACCCCAAACCTTAAAACCCTAAACCCTAAACCCTAAACCCCAAACCTTAAAACCCTAAACCCTAAACCCTAAACCCCAAACCTTAAAACCCTAAACCCTAAACCCCAAACCTTAAAACCCTAAACCCTAAACCCTATACCCAGAACCCTTGCGGAGTGGCTTCAAGGGCTTAGGGAAAGAGGTCAGGAGTGGGATCATCAGTGCCCCAGTTGGAGTTCATGGCTAGCTAGAAGTAGGGTTTTTAGGGGCCCTTTAAAGGGATCTATAGGGATTCTATCAGGGTATAGGGTTTAGGGCCTCATGGGTCGCTATAAGTAGGGTTATAGGTCCCCTATTAATATGGGTTATTAAGTACAGTTACCCTACTTGTAACTCTATTTAGAACTGCCCATGAACCTCCAAGTAATCGGTGCATTTCTACCTGCAGCTCTATCTCTAACCTACTTAACTACCTACTCCCCCTGATCCGTCGAGAATAAGCCTAAGCAACCCAAACAAAAGTCTATCGAACCTGTACCTCTAAGTGTAACTTCCGGAAGACGCGAGAAAGTTGAACTATAAGGAATGATCATTCCAACACTGTTCCCTAGGGCCCCAGAAAAGCACATAAGCAATAGTACGGCTAGGGGTATCCCATATAGACCCCCTTTTCATGAAGCCCAATAAGGTAGGGATATTTCCATAAAATGCTTATGCTTATGTGCTTTTTGGGTAACTAAAGCCCTAGTAGTAGCGCAGGTAACCTTTAGCCTTTTTTGGGTAGTATAGTCCCTATACAGCCAAAGAGATTAACCTTTAGTTCCCCATCCTTCAAGAGCCCTAACTACGGGGCGACTCGGGGGTGCAGTTCCGGGTTCTATGCGGCGCCCCGGATGATAATTCCGGGTTTAGGGGTAAAGGGTCTGGGTGTAAGTTGTATTGACCTATCATTTGATTGAGTTCTTCCTGTGGAGTTATGCTCTATAGGGTTTGTTAGCGTTTAGGTTTTAGGGTTTAGTTTGTACGTGCTTCCAGTTCAGGTGTGGGCTGCGATTCCCCGTAGTACCCTTTTGCCCTTTTTGTTTTTGCATTCCCTTATTCAAACCAAAGACAAACCAAATAGAAGGGAAAAGAGGCTAATTACTGGGCAACCTTGAGTAGGACTTCGATTTCTTAATGGAGGAGCCCTTGTGTAGGATTCCCACTTTGCTTGTGAAGGTACTGCTTGAAGATGCTGTTTAATGAGGATATTTGGAGTTTCCGTGTTCCTGTTTTCTGAGGTCCACCCATGGTACATCTCAGCCCACACCCTATTCTAATGAGTAAGGCAGACTGTATATGGGTAGTTGTCCAAATTATGGTGCCTTTTTGGGTCCTTAATATAATACGGCACCTAATATTTAGGGTACCCAAACAGGGACCCTAATTTTGGCAACCACCCATATTATAGTATATACCCTTATAGTATCCCTTATGGTATCCCTTATAGTATCCCTTATAGTAGCCCTTATAGAGCCCTTTAAAGGGACCCTAATTTTGACCAGTTTTGGGGGTTTTGGAGATGTCCAGTTCCTCCGAGGCGTCAGCAGATTCTGGAGGAGCTGAAGCACCGGGAGGAGCAACTCGCAAGCATCCGACACAGAAGCCCTAAACCGTCCTGGGTTTAGGGTTTAGGGTTTAGGGTTACTATTCCGTTTATGGTTTAGGGTTCATGGCTTGCTACAGAAGCGTGGACGTTTACCAATGTTGTTCCTTACGGCTGCGTATTCTTATTGCTAGTATGATTCTTAGTAACTTAGTATGCTGGTGATTATGATCGTGCTGGTTCTGATCATATATGATGCTGATGATTTGTTTTCATACTTTCACTACTATCATTCTTCTTTAGTATTATCATGATGACTACACTGGAATTTACCCCCAAACCTCAGTTTTGTTCCTCCGTCTAGGGTTTAGGGTTTAGGGCTCACCTTAACCCTGAATAACCTACCCTTTTAGGGCTCCTTACTATGATTTCCTTATATAAGTACTTAAAGAGGTAGGCTATTCCCTCAAACCCTAAACCCTAAACCGTGGGCTTAGGGTTCAGGCCTTGAGGTTGAAGGATCAAGATGCCAGTCTTCAAGGCTGGAGGGACGAGGGTTGAACTGGTTTAGTGTCTCGTTTCGGGGTTTGGGGCTGAGGACGTTTTGGTGGTGAGGGTTGAGGACGTTTTGGGATTTAGGTTCCAAAGCACTGCAAGGTGCCCAGTGGCCTACTTGCATCAACTTTGGTGGCATTCAGCACGAAAGCGAGAGCCACTGGGTTGTTTTCTCTCATGACCCGTGTGAGTTTCCAAAAAGTTGAACGAATGCGGAATTGAATCGTGCGACTTCTGACTCCCAAGACCGGCTCGAGGGCGTTCCTTCAAACAGTTTTTCTTGGGCCTTACACTAGGTGTTGCAGAGATTCAGGGGCTTCGGGGTTTAGTGTGCCCTAAACCTGAACGTTCAACCCTAAACCTAAATCTTAAACCCTAAACCCTAAACCTAAACCTTAAGCTCTAAACCCGAAGCCCTCGAGCCTGCAAGTCGAAGCATCCACCGCCCCCCGAAACCTAAGCCTCCGACCTCAAACCCTAAACGCTACACCAACACACGCGCACAAGGATACGGGTGGTTGTCAAAATATGCGTCCCTTTTTTTCCCTATTATAGTCCGGCACCTATTATTTAGGGTATCCCAAAAGGGGCCATAATTTTGACAACTACCCATACTCATGCTGATGAGGAGAATGCTTGGGTAGCACTTGCTACAATTAGTGCTCTGTTGCGTTTCATGATGTCACAGGACGAGCAGTGCACGTTCACACCGCAGCTGATTGCCAGAAGGCAAGGGCACCAACAGCCGTCACGGACTTAGGGTTGATGATATAAATCCCGCACGACCCATAATAAGGAATATGCCATAATTCCCATAGTCTAGGGCCATTAAGGTAATGCAGGGTTGATACCATCAACCGTAGGAGTCAGGGTTTATGGTTCTGGTATTAGAAGGCCCGTTCGAAGCCTTCCAGCCAGTAAGACCCTGCGTAAGCATTGGGTTGAGATTAGGGTTTAGGGATTAGGGGTTTAGGGTTTAGGGTTTAGGGTTGGGGGCTACACTTGCGATGTTCAAGAGTGTCCAAGAACCCATGCTCACATGTGGCGGCAGCATCGAAAAGGAATCAGTATATAGCCCCTAGCAGTGATGGGTCGGTTGAAATCAGCACTCAAGATCTCGGAGCACACTTCGCAACATGCAAGCTCTAGACCTGTAGCCCTATGATACCCTAAACCCCTACACCCCTAAATCCTAAACCCGAAAGACTAAACACCATGTTCTGCCTCCCATGTGGTCAGGGGCTTTCACGAAACGATCCTCGGGTTTCCCAAACCATGTCCTTGGCCCATCATTCTTGTGTTTAAAGTAAAAGCCAGAAAGTTGGAATATGGTTTCAGGGTAGGATACCCTATAATTTACCTTAAAGGGGTTACGATAATGATATTCCAACTTTCTGGCTTCTACTGCAAGGTGCTGGGGTTTCGTATTGCGGGTTCGAGTTTTGTAGTTAAAGCTTAGGGCCTAGGGTTTGAAGTTCGGTACGTATTTCTGTAGGCCTCAAGTTTAGATTATGGGATTTTGGGCCCTCTTGACACATCCGTGCCTAGCCGCTCCGCAGATCGCGAAGCTGCGAACGCCTCGGCGTGCAGGTGGTCGTGGCATGTGTTGATTCTTGTATACAGGCCTGATTACAATAATGAGAATATTATACCCCAAAGCCCTATTGTACTTATTCAGGGTCTTGTATTGCTTCTATGCTTTGGGGGTTTAGACTTTCGGGTCTGGAGGTCTGAGGCTAGGGGATTTCAGGATTAAAATTCGAAGTGCTGAGAATCCCAGAGAACCCAATACCCCTTTATTCAGGAAATACCTTAAATCATAATATTAAGGGATCTATAGTTTAAGGTACGTTCCTTGATTAAGGGGTATTGGGATCTCTGGAAGACCAAATCCAGATACCTCCTTCAGGCCTGTGAGTCATAAGCTTTTCCGGAGTTTAGGGTTCAGGGTTTAGGGTTTATATGGTTTAGGGTTTAGGGTTCAGGGTTTAGGGCTTCCGGTTTAGGGCGCTTTGTGTTGGGGTTTTGGCTTTCCGCGTCTCGGCTTCTTGGGTTGAGGGTTGGCTGGTTTCGGATTTGGGCTTTTGGGTTCGTGCTGGTATAGCCGTATAGATATTCGTCATTGCTACTTGCACGGCAAGAGTGGGGGTATTCAGGGTTCAGGGTTCAGGAGTATCTGAGGTTTCAATTTAAGGGATCTTGTTGAAGCTTCAGAGATCCATGGATTGATGAAGCTGCTGCATTGCCGACTATCATTGGCATGTCAGACCCCCTAGACTAAATTTCGCTAGACGATAGGCTTCAAACCCTAGACCCCAAACCCCTAAACCCTAAACCCTCAAACCCCAAAACCCCTAAAAAAACCCAAACCCCCTAAACCCCCCAACCCCCTAAGAACCCTAAACCCCCTAAAAACCCTAAACCCCCTAAACCCCTAAACCCCTGGACCCAGGCTCCCCGAAGTTGAAGTTCAATAATATTCATAATACAGATACAGTAATAGACTCTTACTGTATGGGGGCAGTACCTAACCTAAACCCCTGGACCCAGGCACCCCTCAAACCCCCTAAACCCCTAAGAACCCTAAAAACCCTAAAAACCCTAAACTTGGGTGGCGTCGTTTCGAAGAGAGCGGAGGGAGGCAAACGAGTTCAGCTGGTTGGGGCAAAGCAGAGACGGGCGGTTTCAAATCCAGGACCAGTGCCAGAATAACAATGTGTTATTATGGCACGAGGGCGATGGTCCGGAGTGCACGACCATCCCGAACCACGGCTGGAGCTTTGTGAAGCTCGCTGCGAGGTATGCCACCGCCATCTCTGCAATCGCAAGAAGCCGCAGCATCGGCATCAGTACTGCCTGGGCTGTATCAAGGAATGGACGTCCAAGAAGTGGCTTGAAGAACACGATTTCGTTCCTGCATCGGTGGACGGAGAGTGGATTTTGTCCTATTGCCCAACTAGCATTTCAGCAGCGACGGGAGGTGAAAAATCCAAACAGTCCGCTTGCAGCCTTGCACGTGGGTTTTCGAGAGATCATGCGTCTGCTGATGTTGCTTAGGCCCTAAACCCCCGTAAGAACCCTAAACCCCCTAAACCCAGGCACCCCGAAGTTGAAGTTGAATAATATTCATAATAAAGATATATTCATAGACTCTTGCTGTACGGGGGCAGTACCAAAACTAAACCCCTAGACCCAGGCACCCCTCAAACCCCCTCAAACCCCCTAAACCCCTAAGAACCCTAAAAACCCTAAACTTGGGTGGCGTCGTTTCTCAAACCCTCGAAGGAATCCTCCGGCCTTGGTCAACCCGTGCAAACCTGAAGCACGAGTTTAGGGCTTAGGGTTTAAGGGTTTAAGGGTTTAAGGGTTTAGGCTTTAGGGTTCACGGTTTAAGGGTTTAGGGGTTTAAGGGTTTGGGGTTTAGGGTTTAGGGTTTAGGGTTCAGGGTTTAAGGGTTTAGGGGTTTAGGGGTTAAGGGTTTAGGGTGTAGGGGTTTAGGGTTTAGGGGTTTGGGGTTTAGAAGTTTCGGGGTTTACGGGTTACGGTTTAGTAGTTTCGGGGTTCACGCGTTAAGGTTTAGTAGGGCTTAGGGTTTAGGGCTTAGGGTTGGAAGTTTAGTGCGTATTTATGTAGGGCCCTTGCGTCTGGATTCTCAAGCACCAACAACCTCAGACCCTACACCCTAACCCTAAGCCCTAAATCCGAAATCCTGAACCTCAAACCCTAAACTCCGAAACCTAAACTCCAAACCCTAACCCGTAAAGCTTGACACTCCAACGGACAGGAACAGTCAACTCTTGATCGCAGACCACATCCTTATCTGCGCACCAACCAACGACACTGCGATCGATCATGCGTCTTCGGTCATACGACACAGAAATGCAGCAATGAAAACGCTCAAGGACTCTATTTCCAGGAAGCACGCATGCCATGTGTTTGACAGTTCTCATTCATCTGACAAGTGGCTATACGAGCTATACTCCGATCACGAAGTGCGTCGCACTTTGTTCCTGCTTAGCGAGCCATACATCGTGTATGCAGCAGTTGTGCTGGAGCTCGCGCTGCTTGAGATAGGTTTGCCAGGTGATCTTCTAGGTGATCCAGAGTAGATATGGGTGGTTCCCAAAATTATGGTCCCTTTTTGGGTCCCTATTATAGTACGGGACCTAATATTTAGGGTACCCCAAAAGGAACCATCATTTTGACAACCGCCCATATCGCACGTAGACTTCAGGCAGAGGGGCGTGGACTCAGCATTTCACAAGCTCCCAACTCTCAGCCCGACAGCATCGGGGCCTCAATAATTGCCTATGCAATTTTGGGTTCCTTTAAAGAGGTCTAGAAAGGCTATTATAAGGGCTACTATAAGGATTGAATATAGGGGCCTCAATAACTGGATACATTACTTTGGGTGTTCCTTATTACAAGTATAGTATGATGAGCCCCAAAACCCTATTCTAAGTATTGAGGCCCCTACATTAGCCTGGCAGAAATTCTGGGACTCCTACAGGAACCCCTTAAGCCCTAAGCCCTTGCCCTAAGGGTCCATGTATCCAAACAGTATATACTTTGGCCTTAAAGTAACCCCTATGCAGGCACCGGGCCCAACGTATATACTGTTTGGGTACATGGACCCTTACGGTTAAAGTCGAAACCCTCAAAGAGGACCTTTGTAACAACAAACCCTAAACCCTCAACAGGAGCCTACCCAATCTGGGTTGGGAGAGTGCACTGCGCGGACCCCAACAAGGCCCTCAACAAAAATTCTAAACCGTGACCCTTTATAAAAATTCAAGCAAACACCGGGGCAGCTCGACAGTCTGGCTCTCCTGTGGCTCCCGGACGGGCATGGCAGGACCGACATCTTTTGGTGTTGCGGCTTAGAGTCTAGGATTTAGGGTTTAGGGTTTGGGGCTTCGGGTTTAGTTAGGGTTGAGGGCTTGCGGTTAGGATTTAGGATTTCAGGCCATTTAGGCTTTAGGGCTTGATGTTGGGGTTCTATATTTTGGGGTTCTGAGACGTTCTGCAAGGGTTTTGTGCAGCGTCCGTGAGGGTTTTGCTCCATCAGGGTTTACCCAGGAGGGTATAGGAGTCCGATGGAACCCTAAACCCTAAACCCTAAAGCCCTCAGCACCCTAAGCCCGAATACCCTACACACCTCGCCCTAAACCCTGAAACCCTACATGCTTATAAGCCTTTAAATCCCTGGCCAAACCCTGAAAACCTCATACTACTCTCAAAATACCCTTGTAATAACCCTTACAAGAACCCTTGAAACCCTTTCAAAGCCACCAAAATCCTCCAAACTAAAGCCATGAAGACATAAAGCCCTACCACCATACCCCTTAAAGCCCTAAACTACAGCACCCTCATCATGCTCTTCAGGCAACCCTGAAGACGCCTTTCAAACACCCTAAAGCCCGCCAAAGACACCCCAGAGGACAAGACCCTGAACTCTCAACCCGCAACCCTAAAACCCTGAAGTCGTAACCCCTAAACCCGTAAACCCCGAATCCCTAAACCCCGAGCCCAAACCCCTAAACCCTAAACTCAAACCCTAAACCCCTGAACCCCAAACCCTACACCCTAAAGCCTAAAGCCTCCAAGCTAAAGCCCTAAGCCCTAAACCCTAAACTTAAAACCCTGAACCTCTAAACCCCTAAACGCAAAAGCCTCCAGCCCTAAGCCCTAAAGATGATCTTAAGCTAAAACCCTTCGGAACCTTAAAACCTCCTACGAGCCCCACAAAGGATTGGCTCCGCGAGCAGCTCGGGCGAAAGGAGCAGAAGATCGAACACACGCGGGCGGAGATGCGCCCCAGCCCGGCTGCTTTTGTTTGCTTTAGGGTTTAGGGTCTACTCCAGGGGTTTATGGTGTCGGGATTTAGGGTCTAGGGTCTACACAGGGTGCAGGGATGTAGGGTTTAGGGTCTACACAGAGGTTTATGGTGTAGGGGTTTAGGGTTTAGGGGTTTATTGTAAAGGGTGTAAAGGGTCTAGGGTTTCTTAGTAGGTCCCTTACAGATCCCTTAGAGGGAACCCTTATGGAACCCCGATAGCGCCCTTAAAGGAACCCTTATAGATCCCTTAACGGAGCCCTTAGTAGGGCCCTTGAGGGTTTTCGGTTTTTATTTGGGTCCCTAGGATCTTTTCTGAGGGTCCTTGATTGCTGTGCTTCGGTAGGGCTTCGAAGGGGACTTTTTCCGGCGTTTGAGGGGATCTGTAGGCTCTGCGCAGGGTTTTATCAGGATTTGCTGGGGTGTTCAGAGTCTAGGATGCCCAGTAGTACCCTTATTCCCTTTTTGTAGTCCTAGGTTCCTTATAAAGTTACCCAATACCAAAAAGAGAGCCCTTTTAATTCTTAGGTTACTGGGTATCCTAGGAGTTGTTCATGGTTCTACAGGGTCTTGCCCGGGTTGGGTTCTCTCACTGTTTGGGGCTTGCCGGGCTTGAGGTCTAGGGTTCACCGAACTTTTTTTGTTGAGTTTGGTCAGAACTTTATCGATCTTAAATCGCAAGAAATTGGCCAAAAATCCACAAACAAACCGACTTCACTTTGCTCAGATCTTAGGCAGTGTTTTTCGATTTAAAATCGACAACACTCTGCCAAAAATCAAAACCCTCGGTTCGAGTTTTGGTCGATTTTGCTTGGTCGATTTTTGATTTGTTTGTAAGCCGGGAAAAAATCGAACAAGCAAGGAGAAAGGTCAACGACCAGAGAGGTGCAGTGACTGACTACTGACTACTGACTCCTGACCCTAAACCCTAAACCCTAAACCCTAAACCCTAAACCCTAAACCCTAAACCCTAAACCCTAAGCTCTGTAGCAGCAGGCCCACAAGGCACTTACACTGCCCACAGCCCACTGAAAGGGCTGGAGCCTGAAGGGCTTCGGCTTCTGTCCCAGAGACTCCAATATCCCTTGAATTTAGTAGGATCCCTAATATGACTGAAGGTATAGTTCCTTAATTATGGGAGATTCGAACCCCGTAAACTAAACCCTAAACCCTATAGATCCCGTTAAAGGATCCCTAGTATGATGTAAGCTTAGGGTTTAGGGTTTAGGGTTTACGGTTTAGGGTTTAGGGTTTAAGGTTTAGGGTTTAGGGTCATTGCAGGACTGAGCGAAATCGAACTGAACCTCAGAGTATTCAAGTTCGTGACGTGTTAGGGGGTAAGGCTTCGGTTTTCCGGTTGAGGCCTGTCCGGGCTTAGGATCTTAACGTGGAGGTAAACCCGCAACTTGTGCTTTCACTCTACCAAATCCTAAGCTCCAAACGGGTCGCATGTTAGGGACTGGTCAGTGTCTTCTCGGGAGCCAGCGGAATGTCATTTCTTGTGCTTAATGCCAATGTTTTTGCTCATGAACTGATGGTGATGTGCTATTCGGTTCTGAGTTGATGTTTCATGTGGTGTTTAGTTTTCTTTCTCCCCTGTGTGTGAACTGTGATCTTAGGATGACGCCTTAACCCTGACATGTTGTTCGATCTATTTCTCAACAGTCCGGTTTAGACTTTAGTGTTATTCGGTTTTGATGTAAATGACCATCCAGAGTTTGTTTGTTTTTGACTTCGGTTGTGAATGGCCATTTCGAGATCGTTTTCTTTTGATTGTGGTTCCACATGACGATTTTGATTTGATTTTGACTTGGCGATTTCGATTCGGGCTCCAAGCGGCGATTTCGATTTGAGTTTGATTTGTGTTCTTTTTGATTTTGGTTCCAAGCGGCGATTCTGAGAAGTGCCGATTTTGCCTTGATTTGCTTCGCGATCTTTTTAGCGATTTCAGCACTTTTGCAAAACCCCCGTCTTATAAGGCTATCCAGGAGCGCAGCCCTAAACCCCAAACCCTGAACCCTAAAACCTTAAACCCTACAACCCTACACCCTACAGCCCGAAACCCTCTGAAGGTACGGCGATCTCACTCACCGTCCGCGCATCACGCGCGCGGCGCAGCGCCTCAGCGCCGACCGCGGCGACCAGGAGCCCCGTTGGGCTTTGGAGGGGTGGAGGATTTTAGATTTTAGGGTTTTAGGGTTTCAGGGTTTTTTAGGGCTGTAGGGGTTTTGGGGTTTTAGGTTTTTAGGGTCTTAGGGTTTTGGGATCGTAGGGTTTAATTGGGGTTTAGGGGTAAAAGTTTTGTATAGAGTTTGACGGTCTTGCGAGGTTGTTAGCTGTTTCGGGTGCTCGGGTTCTAGTAGGTTAGTTATGGACTTATTGGGTTTAGTGTTGAAGTTTCGGTGGCATTGGTATACGATATGGGGATTTCAGTTTTCACTGCAGTTGATCTGAAAGGGATAGAGAGTTTCTGAGCTCCACACAGCGAGCCAATTGAGATGTCTAGCCGAGTCTACCCCACACGTCAACCTAAAAACACCTACCGTTTTTTGCACTCCATATCATGATTTCGGTAAGTCCTGAACACGCTAGGTTATCTGATGTTTAAACCCACAGGTTGCTTCGAAAGCCGAAAGCCTGAAATGCAGCTGCGAAACCCAGCACCAAATGAAAAAGCTTGCGCCGTGAGCCGGAAACCCCAGGCCTTGCTGCTTCCTAGCACTCCAAACCTTTACCATCTAGGGGTTTAGGGGTTTAGGGTTTAGGATTTTGCTTTAATCCTTATTCCCTGCACACAAAACTTTGGGTTCCAGCTCGCTGGGTTTACTTGCAGAACGTCTTCGACCGCCTCTATGGCGTTGCAGTGAAGGCCGTAAAGCGGGAACGGCTTGGGTTTTGGGTTTGGTGGGTTGACGGAAACTTTAATGCAGTTTTGATGTGTTCGGGTTTTAGGATTTTTCTGGTTTTGGAGGTTTCGGAGCAGTTTACAGTAGCGTTTTCGGGGTGCAGGGCTTCAGGGCTTCGGGTGTACGTCCTTCCTTGGAAGCAGGTGAGTTTCTGGCAGCCAGAGACTGCATAAGGAATACACCATACTTGGAGGGTCGGGGGACTTAGTAACTGGTTATTTTGGGGACTTATAAGTACCTTAACCCCAATTAGGGTCCTTTTTAGGGTACTTATAACTCTACTTACTAACTACTTACTAAGCCCCCCGAACCCCCAAGTAACTTCTAGAGGGATCCTGGCAATGACTGACGGTACCCAAACCCTGAGTGCCGAGGCCCTCACAAACCTAAAACCCTCAGTCGCGGGTTTGTGTTTTAGGTGCTTGCGGGCCTAGGGTTTAGGGTAAGCTTAAGTTTGAAGGTTTGGGTTTGTTTTGGTCCTCCTCATAGACCCCAAGAGGCGTACTCACTAAGTCCCTTGACCCTAAAAGGCCTCAAAGTCTCTTTGCAGCGACTACTTTAAGGACAGGGTATATACTTCATGAGTACATGGACCCTTATCCCCTAAACCCTTAAAGGAACCCTTACAGAAATCCTTCAAGGAACCCTTAAAGGAACCCTAGTTGAGTACACAGAGCCTCAGGGTGACCCGGTAAGTGGAGTGTAAGGTGGCGTGGGAGATGCCAAGGCACGGGCTGTCCCTGAACCCAGAGAACCCAATATCCCTTTATTTAGGAACATACCTTAAATTATAGAGGCCTTCATATGACGGTTTGAGGTATACACCTTAGGTATTAGAATTCCCTAACCCTAAACCCTAGAGATCCCTTATAGATCCCTTAAAGGAACCCGAGGTATATTCCTTAAGCAAGGGGCCCCTTGGGATCTCTGGGGACGCATTGCAGCCCCAAAGGAGCGGCAGCCCGACGGGCGCGTGGAGATTGTTCTCAGGCGACTCCCCACACCCCCCAAAAAATCTAGAAAGTAGATCCCCTAATTTGGGGCCCTATACTACTAAGGGTACTTTATAGGAACCCCCATTACGGATCTCTACTTCCTCGCTCAGCTGAGGGA